GATGGTATCACACCAAGTCATAAATTACTAACCGGGAAGATTGATTGTAGTTCGCAAATAATTAATGTTGGTCAGAAGAAGGTCACTATATACTAATATCATGAAAGAATTAACGTTAAATTCCAACTACTTCAATAAGATATAGTACTTTAAACAATAAATCTGCTCCGGGCATCGATGGAAATACTGCTCAACATTTTAAGCACGGAGTAAAATCAAAACATCCTAAGATTTTGTTGACGTTATTTATCCTATGTATTAAATATTTAATTGTTCCCTAGATACTTGAGGAAGGTACGTAAATTTCTATTATTAAAACGCAAAATCTTGATCCGTCAGTACCAAGCAATTATAGGCCAATAATTGTCTCCTATGTTTTATCTCAAATCTTCTTAAGATATGTCTTCTTAAATCTCATAGTGATTTAATTTGATCCGATACAATTCGGATTTCTTAGTGGTGAAGTCCACCATGGCCACCACCACCTTTTAATATTTTATTAATTTGTTTAATCCTCGGCCTACTCAAGAATATTGATGTTGCTGGACAACCAAACAAGCACTCAAATAATACGTTAAGCATTTCAATAAATTTTGGAAAAGCGCTATTGAAGTATTCATTTTTCAAGAAATTATTCCTACTGTACTTCAATGGTTTTCTCTAATATGACTAAAATAAATCCGTTCTCAAAACGTCATTTTGAGACTTTGGCCCTGTGGCGAACAGCTTTGATTTCTACTGAAATTTGTACAAACTCCGTTCAATTTACCTTGTCAACCTGATCTCTTCTGAACATGCCATTTAGGTAACATACTTGGAGTTGTATTGCTACAGTAATACATGCCCTCAATCCCTTAGTAAATGCATAAAAAAATTCTTAGTACATGATTTATGGGACTGGGACGCTTGTTCATGATCAGTCATTAAAAGTTATCACCAATGCAATTGTTTTTATATTCTGTTGTTTTTGTTTTTTTTAAAGAATCACAGTGCATGTAAATCAGAATATCTCATCAACAGATAATCAACCATCAATGAGCACAGATATGTATACATGTAAGTGAACAGAACGAGTTAGACAACTGCAGTTACAGTTATTTTCAAGTGGTCTATTGGTGTAACAATTGAAAATATACGGAGATACCTACGTGTTATTACCTCCTCCAAGGTTTTTTTCGCTCCTGTTTAACTGTTTGGAGTGTTTATCTGTGAACAGTCTACGTGCACAGTTTTCATCAAAAACTCTTCAAATTTGGTCACAATGATCCATGACCAACGATCTTGAGGTAATAATTTTTTTTTGAACGGTCATGATCAAAGGTCAAGTTCACAATGACGAAAAACTACTTTTCTTATATAACACCCTACAGCCAATAGTTTTTATCAGAAACTAGTCAAACTTTGCAGGACGGAATGGATGCAGATTTTTCCAAACGGTGTGGGTGGGGGTGGGGTGCACAACATTTTCAGAACAGAAAGTGAGTAGCGCTAATTTCAATACATTGATACATTGATATGTATTGAAATTTTAAAATTAATGGCAAAACGGGGGAACGTGCCCCCCGTACTCCCTATTGGATCCGCGCCTACTTGGAGAAGGTGATTAAATTTTGTAGGGTCAGGGTCAAAGATCAAGTCTTATTTCAAAAACCTATCTCTGCAACCACTGGTCGTACAGAACTTCAAATATGTACATTTATATTTACTGTAAGGAATTTTATTTAGCTAGATTGTCTAGCCTAACCACCATGAACTGGACATAAATAGATCTACTATTACAGATATACATGCACGAAGATGTGTGGATGTGGGACCATTTAACGAGGAATGTCCAGACTGTACCTAATATCTCAAAACAAATTTCATGGTGACAACATGTGTGTGGAATTTATACAGACTATTATTATGATATGGACGGAGGTATGCACTCTAGAGTGCACTATTGTTAACAATGTTTGAAACGACTGTCGAATAAAATGGAAGTCATTCTTTCAGGAGATTTTTTTTTTCGTAAGAGAGTATGTACTATTGCCTATTATTGGTAGGTTTACCGGTTTTATGTTTTTTTGTTTGAGTTGGTTGGTATCAAAAAATTAATTTGTTAAACCATCATATTTTCCTTTCAATTTAGTAAATGTTATGAATTCGAAGAACGGCCAAGATGATCGCTCGGTCGCGACTGACATAACAAAGCCAATACGCAAGCACCGACGCCACAGCAGATGCAGTCGTATGCAGGCACTCTGTCTGGTTCGCAACCCCAATCTGACTTCACTCCTTATCGTCCACCAGACAAAGAAAAAGAGTACATGCGGTTACGATGCCAGAGCGTGGGCTAGTCACTTCGTTAGATGATGCTGGAGAGGTTTTCCATCATGATCCTGAAGTTAAAGTTGAGTCTACAAATGACTACCACGTCTATGCCTATAACCTGTTTACAACTGACCCTGAAGTTGGATGCGGGTCGGCAAAAGTATCTTCAACAACGCTGAATGAGAGCTCCGACGATATACTGTATATGAAGTAATTTAGTAAAGACTGCAGATAAGAAAAAACTCAACCTCAATCCATAAGCATGCATATTAATTGGCAGTGAAAAGATTCATAGTAACAGGAAATAAATTTATAAAGAGGTCCAAATTAATGATGACAAACATTTCAGTGCGAGAACACAATTTTGGAGGCAGATAAACTAGCTAATCGTGAATTAGATATCACTGCATGTGTGAATTCAACAGTGGTGGCCCCGACGGTGGGGGCAGCCCCCTGTCGGGGAGTGCTTCCCCCACCCCGTCGGAGAGTGCCTTCCCCCCTCGTTAGGGAGAAAAAGCACAATTCGTGGGGGAGAAAAATATATTATATGTATTTTCTACATATTAGTAGACTCTAAAATCGATTAAATGAGCCTTTGAAACCCCTAAATAGTCAAAATGTTCGAGGGGTTTGCCCCCTGAACCACTTTCGAAACCTTTTAATCGAAGCTCGACCACGTCCACTTTTT